AAACATGTGCTTGATTAGTTGGAGACTCAAAATTGTCTGTTGCTGTGAATGGGAGTGTAAGTTTCGGGTGTACGTTGCCTCTGCTAGCCCTGCGTCTTAAACACACCTCAGCCATCACATTTAGTTCTGGACCAGTCTGATAACCATGGTTTAATGAAATGCATTGGAGACTGAGATTGATTCAAATCGCTCCCAACCATTCAAATTAGTGGCTCAGCTGCTGCGTCTGATCGCAAAATCCCATTTTTTTTACCTTTGAAATAGCAGCAGCCCTTTTAGACCGTTCATCTCGAATCTCATTTTGATTGCCCGTGAAGGCAAAGCACACACTTCTTTCTCCTTCAAACATTACAGCTCTTTGAGATTTTACAGCTTAACTTGACACTCAGGCACAGTTTGAAGGCTGTTGGCAAGGTTTTCATTGCTCACTCGTCCTTCGTTTGTCCAACGCTATGTCAACAGGAACGGCAAAGATGATGTCATGCTTTAGGAGCAGCTCCGCCCGTAACTCAATCAATGATTCTGTTGTTTCCTGAAGCATGCTCAAACATCCTGCAGCACACAAGGAGCCATAACAAGGCTGAAGAAAGTGTTTAAAGACCTTGAATAAAAAATATTTTTGATTTGCAATTCCAGTGGAGCCTTCCCTGTCAAACACACGGTCTGAATTTCCGATCATTTTCTCGCAGGAAACAAACTTAATCGAATACACCCATCGCTGGTTTGAACGGTGATGATGATGTTACAATGATGTCACATTTTATCATTGTAATTGTTGTACAAAAGTTTAAAACAATCAATTCTGTGTCGTCACCGTTGGATGTCACTGCGTCTCTTCATGCAAAGAGTAAACACACCCTACTTTCCGATGTATATTCCATTAATCGTCATTGTTGTCAATTTATTTTACTGACCAACCAGGACACATACGCTGAATTCTCGAGAGAGAAAGTTGTTTTTGTGTGACTTACACAGCACATTTTTTCCCCGAACATTTGGTCTTGCACAAGTTGAACTCTCGAGATTTCCTGGGGTCTCATGACATTTGCGTATATCTCATACTATGAACAACTTTCCAGAAAAAGGAATCGTACCGCCACCGGCGCGTTCTGACTTTTACGAGCACCGATGTACTTTGTCAAAACCTTTCCGAAAGTTTAAATCTACCAGCACATGAGGCCAAGTCATGTTATGCCAACAAGGAGACAAATTACATCACTTTGTGTTTTTGTGGGCCATGGCCTCCGACCTCGAACCACTCCATTGAAGTACCACAGTCGGATGGGAATTGATGTGATTCATTATGTTTTCATAGTGAGGGTTACTTATTCTTGGGTCCGGGCTGTGTATGAGCTTGGTTTGGCACACGAGTCGCCATTACTGTTGCTCGAGCTTTCATGCTAACTGGTGACGAGGCGGTAATCAAACTGCGTTTGTGATTGATGTTTATTTTGCTAAGAGATTTGAGGTTGTTTGGGGCCCCGAGGTTGTTGTTTGTGTTTGGGTTGCAGATTTTTTTGTTACCTCTATTTGCAAGAGAAACATATGTATTTTATTTTGTGGCGTAAAAACAAACCAGGGCCGTGTTTGTGCTGGACTTGAAACTCACAGAAGCATAACATTTGAGGAACCCATAATTATGCTGCGGCAGAACAAGGCCTATTTATTTTCCCTAAAACAGATGGAAAAGAGCAGCGTTGGAAGATAGGGGATTTAACACACAGTAGCTGCGAGGAAATTCACTCGTTGTCCTTCAGTTGACTATGCCGAAGGTGTTGCGACGCAGTTAACGCGATATTTAGAATGAAACACTGAAGCCACGTTTCCACCAAGTGGTATGGTTCAGCTCACTTTTTTCACAGTTTGAAACAGGTAAATGACTTTTTTTTTTAATTAGCTAACAATGTTTCCATTAACTTGAGTTTCCAATCGTAGACGTGCAGGCACTGCATATAATTTCTCCTTTTCATTTTCTGTCTTTTTTCCTCATGGCTCGTAGCCATCGAGCCGGAGTCACATTAGTTAAGTGTGGAAAAATGATCAGTGTGAAGCTTCGAGGCAGACATTTACTGTGACTATTTTTGTGATCAAACTTGTCAAGTTATCGAAAATAATCATTGCAAAGTCTCACAATTGGGCCACATGCATTACCGCAACATAAGCAAACAACCCCTTCCGTCACGTTCAGAATGAAACATCAACAGTTTGAATTTTTTCTTTGGAGAGGTTTAAAAGTGGCAGCTTCTCCACGCAGCTCAATATGGTACTACCGTGGAAACAGGACTTCAGTTCGATAGAAAACTGATGAATGGACATTATTGTTAATTTGTACGTAGTGGGGGAATGTAAGAGTAGTCAAATCCTCATTGGGCGGCTTGTGTGTAACCCATTTGTCACACTAGATCACAGGTGTCAAACTCAATGCCCAGGGCCAGATCTGGCCCGCCACATCATTTTATATGGCCCGCGAAAACAAATCAAACATGTCAACTTCTACGATGATTGCTCAAATCTGTACCAAAATTTCAACTTCTCATATATAATGAATAAGTGAGTATTGTTAGCCTTTTCTTGTTCCCCACCCCCTCATTACACTAATTTAAACAATCGTTTAATGAAGCATTATTCTTGACTTCTTTCTATGTCTTAACGGCCCTCTGAGGTAAACGTGACAAAAATGAGTTTGACACCCCTAAACTAGATGAATTGTGCTCCTGTAATCGTTGGATAACGTGCTTAATATTTTACACTGACTTAATCAGTGATTGGTTTAAACAACGTTAAACTGTGACTCAGTCACTCCTGCCAGTTGTTGGTGCTTTCCCAATTAAAGTGAAATCACCGTTTTATTCTACATAGTTATTTTAAGCATGATTGAGTGTTTGGGCGTGCGTGTTTGTGTGTGTGGGCTGCGTGCGCGTCTGGCTATCCCTGATTGTTGTCTCAGCATAGCCCTGATGAGTGATATGCTTGTTTATATTTAGTCAAAATTATTTCCCGGTGCCCATGACTCACAGGGCGTTCTGCCCGTCGTTGCACACTCAGGGCGCTGCATAAGCATTTGGCTGATTAGACCGATACATCAGTGTGTTTTACTAGGGCCGACAAGATTTGAAATTGTTAAGTGCCTTGTTCGGGGACAGAGAAGGTTACTCGAAGTCGTGTTCTGAGTGGTGGTATCTTAACGCAATCAAGGAATGTTATAAAGGGGCTAATTTTTTGGTGCTCGATTTTATCGATTGTTGGCGGGAATAGCGCGAGATGGCTGTTTAGCCTGCAGCTTTCCTGTCACATCTCGTTTTTTCACCGAAATAATCCCAAATATTGACACGTTGTGGAGTTGCGGCATGCAGCATTGACTCATGAGGGCTGCTGTCACTCTCCATGTTTCTCAGGGAAATATTGGGAGGAAGTCCAGCGGGTGATAGAAAGTGAACACACCCGTATTGAAATAATGACAATAAATCATTTCAAAACTGACATGAACTTGAGCCATCTACTTTGCATCGCACTTGTCAATAGGATGTACAATTCAGAGTCATCAACCAACCTAAATGCTCGTTTTTGTTCTTAGCCATTCCTGGGTATAAAGCAGAAAGGCTGCAGTCGAGATTTTAACCCTGAACCTCAGAACTTTGAAACAAAAATCCACCATGCTAACTTTGACCATCCATTCCTTTTCTTGAGCACGTGACACTTGTTCTCATTTGGGTAAAATGGGAGAGCAGCCTGGACTGGTCACGAGTCAATCGCAGCTCCATACATGAAGAACAACCATTCACACTTACATTCACAACCATGTACAATTTAGAAAAAAAAAAAAATCAAAAACACTCTTCTGGAAGAGAATCGGTTCTGTTTTGGGGATTCTTCGATTAAGGATTCCGTAGTAAAGTTATTCTATGACTATCCAAGCAGCTGCTAGGCTACCATTCAATGTAAACAAATAAATCACGCCAGCATGGTGTGAAAGTGCGCTTCTGCTTCGGTGTCAGGAAATCCGAGTTCGAATCTCTGTTTGAACATCTCTCTATGGTGCTACTTCTGTGTACTCTGGTTTCCTTACACATCCCAAAATAATTTCTTTCTTAGGTTCAGTGAGACTCTTAATTGTCTGAGTGTAAGTGTGAACGGTTGTTTGTTTATATGTGTCCTCTGATGGACCGATGACTAGTCCAAGGTGTAACATGGCTCTCACCCAAAGTCATCTTGGATTGACTCCAGTACCCTAATGAGGACAAGTAGCATAGACAACACATGATTGGATGTTTCATTCCAGGTAAACGGATGTGCATTTGCCTTGTGACACTGTCTGTATGAGCAGTCAATGTCAAGATAAAATAATATGGAGTCGGAACAGAGAACATTCCCTCACAGCAAGAACAAACTCCTCCGCTCACACCTCTCTATTAGCGCCAATGTCTGAGAGGACAGATGGCTCCCGATGGGCCTTGCATTTCTTTCAAAGTGTTTACTTTTTAAGAAGCTGTGTCTTGGTGAAGAAAGCAAATATTTCACAAATGCAAATACACCCCCCGGAGGCGCCATAGATGTACACTGTGTTCCTTCCAATTTTGGGCCGTGTTCCTTGGGTCTCAGGACGTCCGCTTAATTGCCATCTACTGCGCAAGACTGCAATTAGCTTGGGTTTGCTGGCCGGCTGGCCGGGTATAAATCTGCCAAATTGCTTGTCCGAAGAAAGTCCAGCAGGCCAGCTCGAAGCCTCTACTTTTTGAAAAGTGGGCTTGTCACTGTCATATAATTAGGCCGAGCAGCATTTTCAGAGAGAGCGTGCTGGAAGCCCCAAGTTGGGACATTGCGGTGTGCTGGAGCATACCGGCGTATGTATCGCTTCATCTCGCGGCCCGACTGCAGATGTCCAATGCGCATGACGCCTGATCTATCATCGCAACCCTCCTGACACCCCATCGTGTTTAACAGAGCAGAAAAATAAAGCTCGCCGCAATTTCAACTTTCCCCTTGTCGTATTCCCCTCGCAGCTCATTATCCTGGAGGACTACGCCGACCCGTTTGACGCCGAGCAGGCCGGCGGCACGCAGGCCACCACGGAAAAAGTGACCACCGAGAATGATGGATACATGGAGCCGTACGAGGCTCAGAAGATGATGGCGGGTAAGTGTGACAATGTCTTGTCGCATTGTTGATGCCCGCAGTTGGTATATCTTTCGCTTTGCATTCACGCTTTAGTCAGTCAAATTTTAGTGAGACATGATGTTTATGTACGTAAACTTAGATTTTTTTTTTTTTTTTTTTTAAATAGAAAACGGAAAGATAGTGCTTTGCTTTCATCCTTAGTTTTGTGCAGAGTGGCTGTTTTACTTTATTGGTTATTAAAAGCCATGATCTATCTTGTATATTGATTCTACAGTTGACACGCCCATATTGCTGTGAAGTCTAATTGTAATATTTTCAAAAAATATTTTTGGCTTCTCTTTTGGGGAATATTTATTGATACCATTAAATGATCTTATTTTTTAATTTTTTTACGATTGTAGTTATTTTTTTTAATTTAGTATTGTTTTCATTTTATTGTACTGTTTATTTTTTCATGGTTATTTTAGTATTTTAAACCAACTTTTTTATTGCATTTTTTTTCTTTTATATTATTTTATTGGGATCATAAATTTCTTTTTTTCCATGATGCATCATGAGGGCTTATTTTTCCACAATCAGTTACCACCGTAGCCGATCAATGGCAAAACTAATTATTGCATTCCGCGATTACCACTATTACTTGTATCTCTGTCCGTGCTGTTACTTGAACATGTATGCTTTGTGGAGTTCTTGTTGCGATGTAATTTCGCCACACTCTTTTCACGCTGGGACTCACCAAAGCACCTCAGACGGCCCGGTGCTGCTTTAACATGACAGGTGCAGCAGAGCAGAAAGCAAATGTGTGTCATTGAGGATTTGGAAACATTTTCAAAAGCGGCGACTTGCCAGGAATGATATGATATCTGCCTCGAAGCGATTTACAGCAAAAAAAAACAGAGGAATAAGGTCGAGAGTGGTTCTGAAAAAGGGTTATTTTCTGAAGTATTACATAGAAGCGGCTGCATGCTGGGAGTTTCTTGGAAGACATTTTCTTTTCCTTCTCCTGAGACCACAACAGTTGTGTCCTCGAATAAAAATTCAGCTGCACCACATTCTCCACACTGCTTTGTCACACTGCACATTCATCCTGTGGCTGAGTGAGCAGTGACCAAACAAAAAACAACCCAACAATTATGTAAATATAATCGCAAATATTTTTAAAGATGGCACAAAACATGGCTTTCGTTTTCCTGGCAAACTATGAGTGTGCCTCATGTTCAATAAACAATAACCAACCAACCAAACAAACAAACAAACAAACATGCCTTTCCTTTAAAACATCAATCATGAAAACTCTGCTCCATTTAATTTGACACACAAAAAAGGAGCCAATTAAAATGAATTATACTAGGAATAATATCCCTTTTTTTCACAAATGAAAACAGTTCCTCGGTTTCTCAACTCTGACTGTCTTCCATTAAAAATACACAAAGGATAAAGAAATACAGCACACTTAATATCGATGTGGAAAAGTCTGATTGAAATCACTTGGTTTTATGTGTAGTGGTGTTAAAGTGAACAGTGACTCGGTGTTGCCACTTATCCAGAAACTCTACCAAATATTTTTCGTAAAAGTGACAAGTAGCAACTCGAGTGACCTTTTTTTTTTCTTTTTCCGTCGGAATTCAAAAATAACCCAGTCATAAACATAATTTTGGAAATAAAGCAGGCAATAAAAGATTTACTCGATTATGTTATTTCACGCTTGATGAGGGAGCAGACATTCGAGAGAACCGCCTAATTTTATACAAGCAATTAAATGGTACATTTTCCACAAACGTCCCCCTTAAGTAACATTTTAACACATTCACATGGTCTACTCTCCCTAATTGGTGGTGACTGTCCATTAAAGAAAGAAAAACCCACAATAGTCAGTGGAATTAACTTGAAATTGACACAGAGTAAATAAACATTTGATACACTGTAAATCAGACGTCAGGCTTTTTTTCTGCTACAACAGAATTCAGTATAGAGGTTATGAACAACACTTACAGTCCGGAGGTTCAGGTTTGAAATCTCAACCCCCTCCCTCATGTGTGGCGTTTCCATGTTCGGTCCATGGCTGCAATGCTTTTTGTCTGTGTATTCCATCTTCCTTCCCACATGACAAAATTATGTAAATTAAGTCCATTAAAGACTCTAAATTGTGGTATGTATCGAAGTGTAAATGTTTGTTTCTTCTATACATGCCTGTGAAATGCAAACGTTCTCACAATGGGCAGTACATTTTGCTCCAGAATCCTCGGATATTTTTGATATGTGCTGGATGAAGCAAAGAAGCCCCAATTTCCGTTTGTAGGTTTCACGGTCAGCCCAGTGTGTTCTTTGGCCACTGACCGAGCTTGCTATCAAGATTGAAATTTGCCAAATTGAAGTGTTGACAGTCCACAAATCTTTTGGAAAGATGATATAAATATGGAGCTTTTTGACAAATCACTAAGTTGACTGTGAAACGTAACAGAGGCCTGGGTATATTAAGAAGCCTCTTTTCGCTATCTGGCACAGGATGTCTTCAGTCTGTGGATCCGATAAAATCTCAAGATTATAAAGGCAATCCGAAGCGGAATGTGCTGCCCTGTGTCGCACAATGTGTAGGTCATGCATCCTGCCGCATGATAAAGCCCCAAAATATATGACGAAAAACACCCAAGAAGGGCGAAGAACAAAACTTTGGACGATTGTGCAATACCGTCTTTCGATTAGCCACTATCTCCGTCAAATTGAACATCTTTAGAAGTGTAGTTGTGTAGTTTTCAGACTAGTGGGGCCTCAATACCTCAGCTGACACCTTTTCAGCTTCTGACACAGAGTCCCATCACAGATCTAAAGCTTGACAAAAAGCGTGTTCTCTGTCTCTCCTCAGCAATTTTCCTCTCGTGGCCTCCAGACAATCTCTTGTTTTCATCTGTCTTACTAGTTTGACCCTGGCCCAGCCATTGCCCCAGCCGAGTAAGGAGAAGGGGGGAAAAAAAAAAGATTTATCGCCTTCTCTTTAGCTGCTGGTGGCTGTAAAGAAGAAAAATCACAGCAACTGTTTTTTTCTTGTGGCAGCACTCGAATGAGTTTTAAATTGAGCTAGATTCGCTTTTATTTTTTGCTTGCCTGCCGACATTAAACTAGGATGGCAGCAGTTGTCAATGTGATAAAGTCAATGTTGTAGCTTTCTTCTAAAATGAGATATGTTTTGAAATCATGAGTGCAATTCATAAAAAAAAAACAAACCAAAAAAAAAACCTTTCAACCATCGACTCATGTAGTTGTGTATTTGGGCTTGAAACGATTACCAGTATTAATATTGTTGTTGTCATTTTTAGGAGGCATCCATTACTAGAGAATTTCACCGATTTGACAACGCTAAATAGGTTATACATCAATCTCCAGTGTGTGAATTTCTGCAGATGGGACAGACGGACAGCCAAAGATGAAAATAGCAACACCAACTTCCTTATTCACAGTTAATGTCCAGCCTAGTTTTTGATATAGCACCATAGCCATGTCATCCATAAACTCCCTCATAAAGTGAACGCTACGTGTAAAATTCAACAGTGTATAAAAAGATGGAGCGTTGTAAAAAAATAAAATATAAAATCCAATTAATTCATGAGTGTAGAGTGGGAGTGAATAATCCTTTAATTGCCCTTTCAAAAAATAAGCATAAAATGGGAAGGGAGTTAAAGTAGATTTGCTTTAAAACGCAATGATGATTTCTTCGTTACACAAGGCACACGCCTTAAATACACAAAGACTGCTGACGCTCTGGCTTGATTTACGGACGCGTTGGACGGGCATGTCATGACTTCCTCAGCCCAAAATGACAGCCCGGCCTCCCTATGAGTGAGCTAGCTTGAGGTCAACCTGCAGTCATGCCAAGACATCCACACCCTCCAGCCTGTCTGTAGATTTCCTGCATGTGTACAGGTCTACGTGTTCCCACCATGCCTGGCGTGTTTGTCGTGTCTATACGCGTCAGCCATTACAATGTCAACTTTGAATGTGTGTGATTCCAGATTTTTTTTTTTTTTTTTTTGCTACCATACCGACTGTTAGCACGTTCACATTTGATGGATTCTCATTTACAATTGTACCCGACTCCATGGATGACACAAAATCTTTAATCAACATACCAGTTTTTGGACTCATGTTACGATCATATGTTTTATTATTATTATTTTACCAAGTGTTAAGCATTATGTCAGTTCTCATTTGAAACCGTAGGGAATGATATAAAATCTCTATCAGTCGGCTGTAGCACCTTTTTCACTCATATTGCTAACATGCCATCTATCATCTGACCAACTGTTAGTATGTTAGCATTTTAAAAATCTTTTTATATACGACCTGGCTATAGGCTACGATATAAAATCCTTCTTGATCTGTTGTAGTGCTTTGTTTGCTCATTTTGTGTCGTGCTAGCATACCAAGTTTTAGCATGTTAGCAATTAATACATTTTCATTTGAAACACAACCTACTGTAATTACAAGCCATGATGTAAAATCTCTGTTAATATGTTGTAGCACTTTTTGTACTTGCAATGCTATTTTGCTTCATGTTAGCATACCAAGTGTTAGCTTAAGTTAGTAAAATATGATCAAGTCTAAACTGAAATATTACCCAACTCCGCGGTGTAATGAGATGTATCGCTTATGTACTCAGGTTGCTGTTTTGCGCGCGCTCACCCACACACACCCACACACACACACACACACACACACACACACACACACACACACTGTTGTGTTCAGTAGTAGTGACACACATACCTTCAGCTGTCATTCTGCTCATTCCTGGAATACCACAGCAACGAACTAATCACAGGTGGAGATGCCGGAAGAGACGCCCTTTTTTAGATTGTTATTACCTTCGCTTTGGAGGTTGGGTTTCATCACCATTGGTTTATGATGCATGGTAGCACAAAGCAGTTTTCAGGATTCTGAATAAAAAGTGGTACAGAATAAGTTAGCATACCAGCTGCTAGCATTTTATCCGGTCTCTCTAGCTTTTTGAAATAGCAAAGGAT